TCAGCTTGATTTCTGTCTCCACCACGATACAATGGCGGTGAACTGAACTCTTATTTGTCTTGAAAAATGAAGATGTCTCGCTTCAAACAATGCCTTCCTTCACTTTGGTTCATCCACAGAACAAGCTGTCAGATTTTACATGGACTATTCTTTTAGTGAGATGGATTTATAGTTGATGCAAGCGAGTAACGGAAGTCTCAGCGTAGATACCTAGAGCATCCGTTTTGATTTATCGCCACCACAACTGTAGACAGATATATCGTTAACTTGCCTTTATTCGCCGCAGTAACCCTGTTAACAATCTCTCAGTTACTTTGTTATAGGAGTAATGGTGGGAAAGTTCGACTTGTTCATGGTGGGCAGAAGGTTTGAGATGACTGTGTGTTACTGAAAACGAGAAGACCGCTGGACCTTTGTTCAGTCCAAACTGACCAGTCACAGTTCTCGTAGTCCCCATGTAGTGTATGCGTAGCCACTATAACCCTGTCCTGTAGTTATATTTTTGAGGAGTTGCACGCCAGCTACAGCACCACCTAGTAGAAAGTAGGTCCATTGAAAACTGCTCAAAAAAAACTTGAGTAAAAAGGACATTGTTTATGGAAAGGCACATGCCTGGAGATTTTGGTTAGAATAAGATAATAATCATATTTTGAGCGGCACAAATACATTTCTATTCCATTGTACTGGAGGACAGGCAGAAATCCCTGAGACAAATATCTCAAAATGTGGGCGAGTCAAAATGACCTGTCACCATTACAGGTAAGTGAGAAAATATGTTCTTTGTAATTTGGGTCAACTGACCCTTTAATCTAGAGGCCCCTTTAATTTTGGGAGAGCGAAGAGAGACAGAATCGAGGTGTTTAATCAGCACAGTTTATCTCTCGGCCTCCTGTCTGTATGTGCGGTGAGAGGTGGGGTGGGGGAGCATTATCATTGGAAAGAGCATTGAACAACTGTCAGGGATGCAGTCCATGTCATTTGTCATGTGCCCAACCCCCCCACCCCGCACCCCACCCCTCCACAGAATCGAGGTGTTTAATCAGCACAGTTTATCTCTCGGCCTCCTGTCTGTATGTGCGGTGAGAGGTGGGGTGGGGGAGCATTATCATTGGAAAGAGCATTGAACAACTGTCAGGGATGCAGTCCATGTCATTTGTCATGTGCCCAACCCCCCCACCCCCCACCCCAGCTTTATGACAGAGAGTGAAGCTGGAAGCTGCAGGCCCAGCTACTGAACCACCCATCTAGTCCCAGCAGATGCATTTAGCGCCCTTCGCCGTGGCTGACCATCAGGCTGTGCAGCTGAGCACCAGAATATCAATACGGCTCAGACTCAGCCGGGCCCCTGGGACTATCTACAAGGCAAACATAATGGGCTCCTCTCCTTATGGAAGACAGAGACCAATCGCCGCCAGGGAGACCAATGTAAATAAGGCAGAAAGATGTTCTGTAGCACCAAACTGCAGTTTGATTCACTCCAGAGTGGCCGTCGTGATTTGGAAGAGCTACCTGAGACGATTATCTCCAGTTTTGGCTCTTCTCTGGGAGGGAAACAGATGAGTCTATTGAAGGGCCGTCTGTGGGAGGACAGGAGAGGAGAAACAGTAATCCTTTTGTGTTTCATCATCCGCACTGTCCTGAGAGACGTTTTGGTAAAGTAGGAGGAGGAGGGAGAGACTGTGAGGAGTAATGGGTTGGCTGTTCCTCCTCCTGTCATATGAAACCTGAAGTTTATCCTCTGAGTCAATGACAGAGCGCCTCACCTTTAAACAGGTTGGTGCTCAGTGGAGGTGGTAATTTTGTGTGGCGATAAGCCCTTTATCTAATGGTGGGGCAGAATAATTCCTCTTTAAGTGGCAGCACTGGTGCCCCCCCCTCGCTCAGATATGTATTGTCATGTCTCTGCTCGACTCAATGCTGTTGTTGTTTTTTGTCCCACGGCTGTTGATGTCGGCCTCAGCGTGAAACGAGGATATCGTCCCCTTAGCCAGACGGCCTCATGGTGCCACAGTTAGGAGATAAATTGCAGAGACATGTTTATCAACATAGAAGAAGTGCAAGTTACCCCTTGTTGGAAGAGAATAATGGGACCTAATTGAGCTGTAACACGCTGGCTGGTCGCCAGGCCCTTGAATTGAAAACTCTCTCCATCAGAAGGGGGTCTGCGGAGTGGGAGGGGGCTGTTAAAACACTGCAGGACGTACTAACATAGATGTGAAACTCATAAACCTATTAACCATGCTTGGATCCAGTTATATTTAATTGAAAGTAACCTACAAATCAGTGCGTCTACCTGCCAGTGTGATGTTTTTAGGAGAGGAGCACCTGAGAGGCCCTTTCTGTCAACCAAAGCACAGCCGTGGTAAAGTCAGATCAATCCTCTGGAGGAACAGCACAGCCTGTCTCCTGGCACCTGCCATGCCAAGAAGAGGAAGGGGGGGCGGGGGGTAGAAAAAGAGAGGGAGCATGAGCGGGTGGGAAGGAGGAAAAACCCAGCTGCCTCTGCGCCTGAGCCCCATGCTGCTTTTAAAGGAGTGGGAGGGAGGGGAGGGAGAGGAGAGGGAGAGGCAGGGAGACTGCTGGCACCATCTGTACATGTCTTTTGTATTCCAGCCCTCATCTTTACACAGAGCGAGGCTGGTGTGCTCAGTGTTCAAATGAAAGGAGAGGAGGTGCCTTTTGGGGTGCGATGCTCTGCGAAGGAGAAGGTGTGTGTTTGTGTACCAGTGCTGAAATTCTGTTTTGTCCTCGGAAATTTGGCTCACTCAGAGGACATCTCGTGTCCTATTTTTGTTACCTCTGCGTGTGTGTGTTTGTGTTAATATAAACCAGTGTGGCTTTTTTTTTTCCCTTACGTGTGTGTGTGTGTCAGTAAGCTTGTGCTCTGTTTGCAAGCACTCATGTGTGGTCAAATCTCTGGGTTGCCATGTTTGTGATGGGAGTCAGAAGCTTTTGTTTGTTCCTTCCTCCCATCAGCCTCATTAGCCTGATGTCTCCTCTCTCACTGACTCACTCAACCTTTTTTTTTTATATCACTCTCTGTCTTTCTCTCTCTCTCTCTCTCTCTCTTGCTCACTGTGTAATATGTGCAGTGGCAGGCCGTCCTTGCATGTGGCAGCAGGGTGGATCTGCCTGCGAGGACAGGCTGCACTGTCTGCTGTCATATTGACGTGGCTTTTTTTTTTTTTTTTTTTTGCGCGAACCGCAGCTGAAATCACCAAGCGCTCTGTTTCACCCACCCTGCCCCTCCCTCGCTCCTCACTCAGCCTAGAAGTGCTGTGAATCATAAGAGGAGGTGGCTGCCCTGCTCTTTGATTGAATCCACATTCTCCTTTCTCCTCCTGATGCCGCAGAGAGAGGCGCGAAGGAGGCAGGGGAGGCGAGAGGGAGAGAAAAAGGAAAAGTGAGTCTTTTGTAGTTGGCACAGGACAAAAACATACACTGCAGATGAAAAGCATATGATTCGATCAAATGCGCTCTGTGGTAGCTACCTAACCGAGCGGCATGTAGGATGGAGGAGAGAAGGGAAGGGCTGGAGTCCATCTGCAGGCCCAGAGTGAACCCTAGTGGCCAAGAGCAGCAGTGGCATGCTGGATGGAAGCACATCTTTACATACTGCAGTATAAAGGTGCTTCCTTTTGTTTGCTAATGTAACAGGGATTCTCTTTAGCGTGTGAAATACTTCAAAATCCTGCTTTATAAAAAATTAAGCTTTTGATTTTCGACTTATCTGCACATAAAGTTTGTTTGTATGCCAGAAGCTGGGCTGTTTTGCACAAAGCAAATGAATTAACTTCTATGGCAACATATTTTACAGGCTTTTGCCACTGTTTTGTATTCTACATGTCTGAAAAATGTGCTCTACAAATCCTGCTTACTGCAGTGTAATTTTGTTTTAGCGGCCCAATTTGTCACTGCACTACAAGCAAGTCCACTAAAGAAAATAAAAATTAGAAAATTTTGATTTTGATGAAAGTGTCTTCACAGGAAAGACAGACATACCTTTGGATAGTGAGGACTTAAAGGTCCCATATTTTAGAAATGTCTTTTTTGATTATAAAGCAGGTCCAGGTTCTATATTTATACTGTAAAAGTATCAAAGTGCTCAGTCGGCAGAGAAATGCACACAGCTCGTATTCAGAAACTGTCCCTGAATACGAGCTGTCAGGACTTCTGTAACTTTGTGATGTCACAACAAAGCAGTCACCGCTCCCAGCCATGCCCTAAGACCAACCCCTGTTTTGATTGTTGTTTGATTGGTTTGACTGTTTTTCTGTATTGTCACTTTCTGTATTATGTCAAGGTTACATCTCTCACTTCACTGTTTTATTCGTTCCCCCCACGGAAAATCTGCACCTCATTTTCCCAGTAAATAGTTTTGAATTAATTTGCAAGTCACTGAAAGGTGATGAACACAACTGAAAATGCGACTGATAGCATCCCAGCAGCTAATGTGCTGCTAGGATGGACATAAGCAATACATTAACCTCCGTAATCCTGCTCCTCTTCTGAAGATGTGAAAAGCTTAATTTAAGTCGTTTAAGTCCAAAAATACATAAACCAGCTCATAAGTAGAATAAAAGCTTTTATTTGTCTAAAGTAAAAATAAAATTCAAACAACTATTAAACAGTTCATCTAATCAAGCCTGTCGACTAAAAGACACAACAGCATCTGGAATACAGTCTTTCTTTTACTCGGCCCATAGGATGTTAAATAATGTTGCATAGTTGGGGACTTACATACTACTTGTCACAGGGTATTTTGCACAATAATTTTATGCACTATTTTGTCAGTCAGGTCATTGCTTTTCAGTTTTCTGTCCAGTTTTGCTCAGAAGCTTCTGTTCCTAAGTTGTGGTTTCACCTCCCCACTGCTTTCACATAATCAGTTTTTGCAGGTTTTTTTTGCAGCGCTTGCAGTGGAGGGCCGTTACCTCTGCAGTTATTTCTCACAGGAGTCCGACAGCAAGTGATACACTCTTCCTCTGCTCTCTCTCCAGCTCTTCTGTCCTCGTGGTGTGAGGAGCTGGGACGCCTCCTCCTCCTCCGTCACCAGAAGAACAGGCAGAACGAGCCTCCGGGAAAAGTGCCCATGCAGCCACCAATGAGCTCCATGAAGCCCGGCCTCTCACACGGGTCAGTGTTCACACTGCTGCACTTTTTGGCATGCATGTGAGGTGTGTTTGTGTGTGTGTGTTTGTTGGGTGTGTGAACAGACAGACCGGGCCCTCGGGGAAAGCCCTTCCTCTCCACACGAAGCCCAGTGTTCCTTATGGATCAATGGCCAAACAAACTGCCAGACTAACCGCTTGTAGCACAGTCAGTCAGTGGGGACAAACAGTACCTCCCAACCCCTAGTACATGTAGTTAATAATTACAACACAATGTTGTCACAATGTATCGTTCAGCAAATGCAAATATACTTACTTTTCTTTTGCCTACATGATGTGTTTTTGTCCGTCCCCTGCAGAGATGGGTCTTTTCCCTACGACTCAGTTCCCTGGCAACAGAACACCAATCAGCCTCCAGGTTCGTTGTCTGTGGTGACCACTGTCTGGGGAGTGACAAACACCTCACAGAGCCAGGTGAGATCTACCTACCTGTCTGAGTTAGTAAAAGCGTGTCTGAGTGGACTGCATCTGATAGGATCATATTCCTGTAGTTTTAAAATGTTGTTACAGAAGGTTTCTCACCAGGAGACTGTTAGAAAAGAGACTTCAAAGGTGAAGAAGTGAGAGAGGCAAGTTATAAGTTATATATATTTATATAAACCCTTGTCCCTCATTATGAGTTAAGGAAACACAGTTCAACAGAGTTAAATTGGCTGACCTTAATGTGAGCTTTGATGCCGTGGCAGAACTGACCCCTCTTTTCCCAGTTTCAGTTTTGATAATAACAGATTCATATCGCCTCTTCCACCTCTTAATTCTGCTGGTACCAGCTTTCAAAATGCAGTTTCTTGGTTCAGTGTTTCACTGGTGAAAGATCAGCAGTCACACAGACCTGTAGTTTTTTTTTTTTTTTTATCATCATCATAAAGCATCCAGCATTTGCTGTTCCTCCTGTTTATGTCTCTGTGTGTCTATGTCCAACAGGTTTTGGGGAATCCCATGGCCAACAACAACAATCCCATGAACCCTGGGGGTAACCCTATGGGCTCAGGTATGTCTGGTAACAATCCAGGGATGAACTCGCCTCAGTTCCCCGGTCCTCAGCAGCAGTTCCCCAACAAAGGCAACTCCAACCAGGGCTACATGCAGCAGGGCATGTATGGACGACCCAACTACCCCGGAGGAGGAGGCTTTGCTGGCAAGTAAGTGGACAGTGGATTAGTATTTTTTATTGTAGTAATTGAATTAATTCTCAGTTACATTTATCATACTCATCCCACATGATGGTAGTCATATTTTATGTATTGTTGCTTCTTGTCTTAGCTACCCAGGAGGGCCTAATCCTGGACCTGGTGGAATGGGTATCCCTCCACACTCCCGTCCTCCTTCAGACTTCACCCAGCCTGCCGCTGCAGCCGCGGCTGCTGCAGTTGCGGCTGCTGCCGCCACCGCAACTGCCACTGCCACAGCCACTGTAGCTGCCCTGCAGGAAACCCAGAACAAGGACATGAACCAATACGGACCGGTAGGACAAGGCACACAACTGATATCACCAGTGTGATAGGATCTGTATTCATAAATTAAATTACTTTGCTTTTCAGGACTATCCTTTCATTAATAGCTTTAGCACAGTCGTAATGGAGCTAAATAGCACATTTAGCAATAGCAAAAGCACACATATTTTTAGAAAGGTTAGAACATTTTTGTCTTTTGTTTGTTGGAAGGTTTTTATCTTTGCCTCCGAGATGGTTGATTGAACCCGTTTTGTCTTCCAGATGAGTTCCTCTTTCCAGATGGGACCAAACCAGGCGTACAACAGCCAGTTCATGAACCAGCCAGGACCCCGCGGCCCTCCGTCCCTCCCTGGGAACATGGGCACAGGCATGAATGCATCCAACATGAGTGGGCCCCCCATGGGAATGAACCAGCCAAGGGGCCAAGGCATGGGGCCTTTCGCGGCCCACGGCCAAAGGATGCCTCAGCAAGGCTATGCAGGTCCCCGGCCTCAGAGCATGGGTATGCAGGGCATGAAAAGACCGTACCCAGGCGAGGTGAGTGGATATGAATTCAGTGCTTTCACTTTAAGGATTTAGCTCCTTTGCTATATGTTGAATGTGTTTGTCACCACTGCATGCACAGCCAAATTATGGTGGACAGCAGTATGGACCAAACAACCAGTTCCCTAACCAGCAAGGGCAGTACCCCACACCCAATGCCTCCAGGCCACTGCCGTCCCCCAACTACCCCGGCCAGAGGATGCCAGGACAGCAGTTGCAGGGCCAATACCCACCACCCAGCGGTGCCATGGGCCAGTATTATAAGGTGCAGTGTGATTATTATCCCCCTAAATTTTTAGGATTTACAGGATTTTGCAGGGTATCATATGTCTTTTAGCAAAGTGAAGAGAAGAAAATAATTTTGAACCTGTTTAATGAAATTACAGCAAGAGCCACCTTTTAACGGCCAAACGAATAACTTCCCTGGAAGTGGATATCAGTACAACCAGGGTAATATGAATGGGGTAAGTGCATTTTAGTACCACTTGTGTTTGATCACATTATCATCAACAACACTTGGTTGTGTTGTTTACAGTCCTGTGAACTATGATTTACTAATTGATTGTCTTCACTATAGCCACCCAGACCGGTGGGTAACTACCCTCACTCTCCAGTGCCAGGCAACCCCACCCCTCCAATGACTCCAGGAAGTAACATCCCTCCATACCTGTCGCCAAACCAGGATGTGAAGCCACCCTTCCCTCCTGACATCAAACCAAATATCACCGCTCTCCCTCCACCACCAGGTCAGTAAGTGGTAAATATCCAATAGAGAAAGGATTTTCTCTTTTAAAAATTTGTGACTGTCTCACTGGCATTTTTCTCCACCTATATAGCCAACCACAATGAGGAGCTGCGCCTGACGTTCCCAGTCCGGGATGGGGTAGTCCTCGAGCCTTTCAGGCTAGAGCATAACCTGGCTGTCAGCAACCATGTCTTCCACTTACGGCCCTCTGTACATCAGACGCTAATGTGGAGGTAAGGCATCACATACTGAATCAACATACTGTATATTTTTAGATATTCTTACCAGATATTCTACCCCCCACCCCCCTGTGAGAGTTTCATCATACAATAGTTTTATTTTTCCCAATTCCAGCGCCTTCTTTTGGAAAACTGATGCGTTTAACATTGCAAATAAACAAACATTCTCATCAATATGGCTTTTCAAGTGCAAGAATTTTTCCGGGAACCCAAATGCTGGTTGTTGGTAAAAGCAACTTAAGAACAATAGATGAAAAATCTTTTTGATGGTTGTGGTGACCATAATGACCATGATTTCTTGAGAGCAATAGAACTTAAACTGTGGTTAAAGTGGTTACAGTTCTTGAGATTTGGCAGAAGTACAAATGCACAAAGGGGGTTAACAGTAGAACCATTTGGACAAAAAGCCATATAGGTAATATCCCATGGGATCCCACAAGGCACTACTCTCAAGTTACTACTATTTTCCTCTGACAAGATCAGCCTTGATTAAATAATCAGTATACATAGATGCCTCATCAAATACAACTGGCAGCCAGTGAGGGAATGTATTCTTGTTTTTGGACAAACAATGTGTACTGGAGTTAGCAGTGGAGTTAGCGTTGACAAGGACAACAGTACAAGGAGAATTACCTATTCAAAACTGTGAGAAAAAAAACATGTCTGAGAAACATATATAATAATGTGTACATCCATAGTTCTGTGGAGGACAACCAACCTTACTACTGAAATTGATAGAAGTTCTTGGAAATTCTTTTTCACATAAGAGTCCTGCAGTCAAGAACCAATGGGTATTCTTCAGTTCATCTTAACCCTTGTCAAGCTGATTGAAAAGGTTGTGCAGTCATACTGTCTGTGGCCGAGAATTATTCAAAAAATCAAACTACTGCTATTCCCAGCTAACTCTGGAGAAGGTCATTCATTTTCTATGATCCTTCTGTAATTACTTTTACTTCCCTCTCAAGCATGTACGACCATGTACGCCATTAACTTGAATGATATGTAAAAATGTGCTGTTTTCCTCCATGTGCGACATAACAATCCATACCACTTATAATGTTTGCATTCTTTGCTTGTTTCCCTCCAGATCGGACCTGGAGCTGCAGTTCAAGTGCTATCATCACGAAGACCGCCAGATGAACACCAACTGGCCGGCATCGGTCCAAGTCAGCGTCAACGCCACACCGCTCACCATTGAGAGGGGCGACAATAAGACATCCCACAAACCCCTGCACTTGAAACACGTATGCCAGCCGGGAAGGAACACAATCCAGATCACAGTCACTGCCTGCTGCTGTGTGAGTGCACAAATCTCCAGAACTAATATAAAGAGGTTTATACAAATCCTGACACAAAAAATAGATGCCAGATAAATAAAAGTAGCTTATAACAAAATAAAAAATTGATCTGTCAGGTTTTTTTTTCTTCCGGATACACATGTTGAAAGGATTAAACTAATACAAGTGTGGAGAATGTTTGTGATGGTGACAGTGATGTGTCTTCCCGCAGTCGCACTTGTTTGTGCTGCAACTGGTCCACAGGCCCTCGGTTCGCTCTGTCCTCCAGGGCTTACTGAAGAAGAGGCTTCTGCCTGCAGAGCACTGCATCACCAAAGGTATTCACACAAGAATGCAGTCACATTTCACTCCCTAAAGTCCCGATCACTCTCAGAGTCCTTTCTTACACATGGTATTTATCTCCTTCTGCTTTAAAGTTAAGAGGAACTTCAGCAGCGTAGCAGCATCATCGGGCAATGCCACGCTCAACGGAGAGGATGGCGTGGAGCAGACGGCCATCAAGGTTTCCCTCAAATGTCCGATCACCTTCCGGCGAATACAGCTTCCAGCGAGAGGCCATGACTGCAAACACGTTCAGGTAAGCACTACAGGGATAGATAAACACACTGGGAGTCAACAATCTGATGCCTTCAGGGACAAAGAATTTTAAAGTAGTTTACTGGATGAAAAGTGTGATTGTTCTCTTGTTCTTGCAGTGTTTTGATTTGGAATCATATTTACAACTGAACTGTGAGCGGGGGACATGGCGATGTCCTGTATGCAAGTAAGCTTTCATTTCAGATTCCTAGCAGTATTTACCCTCTTTATAGTTTTTGACTGTAATCCACACAATTGTCTCTCTCAGCATTTTAAGCTCTGCCTCTTCTCTCCTCAGTAAAACAGCATTGTTAGAGGGACTGGAAGTGGACCAGTACATGTGGGGAATCTTGAACGCCATCCAAAAGTAAGTTGAGGCAAGAAAGAAATTTGTAATGCATATAATATTTCTCCAAACTTTTTTTGTATCTTAACCATTTGATTTCACCTGTATTTCACCAGCTCGGAGTTTGAAGAGGTAACCATCGACCCGACATGTAGTTGGCGGCCGGTGGCTATCAAATCTGACATCCACATCAAGGAGGATCCAGATGGACCGCTGGCCAAGAGGTTTAAGACGATGAGCCCCAGCCAGATGATCATGCCCAACGTGATGGAGATGATAGCTCAGCTCGGCCCCGGACCGTCACCCTACCCATCACTACCTTCTCAGCAAGGGGGCAACAACAGTGAATACAGCAGCCAAGGTAGTATACAGCTCAAGCATACAATCTCTAAATAGACGTGTATACAAAGTCATGGGCAGCGAAACTTAGAAATTTTACAGAAAGTTTAAAATAACTGTAAGAAATGTTCTCATGTATTAAATGTTTTTTTTTATATTGTGTGCTAGGAAACAGTTACCAGGGGCACGGGAACTTTGACTTCCCTCACGGCACCCCTGGTGGTACGTCGATGAACGATTTCATGCACGGTCCCCAGCTCTCTCACCCGCCTGACATGCCCAACAGCATGATGACCCAAGACAAGCCACTCTCCCACAACATGCCTGACTCAGTGAGTTCTCTTTTTCTACCCTTCTACTTTCCTGTCTTTTTTCAGCAAATGTCACTTCTCTCTGTCTTCTTCTTCTACTGTGTTGTTTAACTGTTGCACAGTTTCTAACTGTGATTTTAAAAGTGCTGTATAAATTGGGTTTGAGAGAGAATATAAGGTGGACTTCCATGCAAAATGAGCACAGGAAACAACCCTAAAAAATGTGATTTTATGGATATAAGGAGACATCTCATAGCAAATACTTACTCATACTTGAGAGTAAGAGCTTGCCAAAATCAACCACACACATTCACCTCCATCCTCTGTATATGTGATCACCAGGAAAAGAAAATGAAAAACATATTTTGAGAAATATGCTTACTTATTTCATTGCATTTCATTAGCAGGTTATCTTAACTTAGCACAAAGACTGGATGACCAGTTTAAGTTTTACCATACAGACAGAGTGGTATCACCTCTCTCGTCTAATTACTGGCAAGAAAGCAAATAAGTATACTTCTGAAAATTTTGAACCATCCCTTTAAAGCTAAGCTAAGTTCATCATGCTAAGCTGAAGTCACAGAGACTGGAATCCGTTTTGAATGTCACAGAAGTTCTAGTGGGCACAATATTTTGTGACAGTTTTTAGACTTAATAATTAATCGATTAATCTTAAAAATAACCAACAGATTCAAATCAAGAATCAAAATAACAACTAGTTACAAGTCCTAGTCTAAATATTTCCCCCTCTCTATGCAGATACCTCACTCTGCCGGCAATGACCAATCGCATGGTCCATTGCAGCAGAGCTTACATGCGTCTCCACACCCTGGGAGCCAATCAGGGCAGCAGCTACACCACAGCGGGCCTCCGCAGCCCTCGCGACAAGCTCCACCTCCTCAGCAACAGCAGCAGCAGCAGCCCGGCCCCAACAACCATCCCCACGGCGACCTGGCCTTCAACCCCTCCAGCAGTTTGGACAGCCAAGCAGGGTCGGACATGCCCGAGCCATCTTTAGACGTGAGTCCCAACACAAAGCAGATAGATTGAGAGCCAATCTTTAGTAACCTGTGTTCACTTGAATGCCTAACCAAAGTTTTGTTATCATTCCTTTTTCTTCACAGCTTCTCCCAGAACTCGCTAACCCAGATGAGCTGTTGTCGTACCTGGATCCCCCAGACCTCCCCAGCAATAGCAACGATGACCTTCTATCGCTCTTCGAAAATAACTGAGGCGATTCAGACACACATAAACTTTTCTGACTGCCTGCAGTTTCCCTGAGAACCCAGGGCAGTCACTCAGTACTTGATAAACACAAAGATGCACTCCCTTTCTCTTCTTCCTCTTGTACAGTTTTCATTCGCCAGCGCAGATTGACTGAAAGAGGTTAAAACTCAAAGACACAGCGGGATGCTCAGCCCGTGGCGATACCTTTTGAACTGTGCAGCTATACTCAGTTGATTTTTTTTACGCCACACACAGGTGTATGTGTGCACATTAGAAACGTGTTGTAGCATTTTTTATTCATGTTTTGTTTCCTTTTGAGAAGAAAAAGGAATTAACTGTAAAAAAAAAAAAAAAACGCAAAAAAAAAAAACAAAAAAAAAACTGAAAAATAACTGAAAAAAACCTGCGCTATCTGGCCAGTGTGCGTTATGTCCATATTGTTATTCCAATCTGAGAGGCCACAGCTTCCTGGTGTCACAGCTCCATTCCCCGACTGGTCTGGTTAGTCGCACTGTTTTGTCCACCACACATCATTTAAAAGCACAAGAGATTTTGGCAATGCAAAAAAAAGAATTATCTGTCTTTACGAAAAGAAAAAAGATCAGTTGGATCCGTGTATGTCTGTCCTTGACAAAATGTTTTTTTAAAAATTTTTTGCTCTTCTGCCAACATTTAAAAAATCTTTTGGGAATAATCGGCTTCCACTTTGTCTACAATTGTGATACATACATATTTTTGTCAAAAAGAGATTTGCCTGCTTTTCAGTCCTCTAAGGGTTAACAGCTGGAACGGAGATTTTGGCCCCACTAAAACAAAACAAAAAAAGTTTATATTACATAATAAGAATAGCATATGCTTACTTATACATGTTGTAAAGTTACCATCCTCCTGTACAGAGGAGTGATTTTAATGGAAATGAAAGGTACAATATGAGAGATTGGGGTTCCTGTGTTAATCCTGCTGCGTTTATCGCTTCCTGCTACAACTCCTTCCATGCCGTCTGCTCTGCATGAGCCCCAGTGTCGCTCGTGTCAGCATTTTTGCAAAGTTGCATCTCTTTCCCTGTTAAATGATGTGCTGTTTAAGTAGTCTACAAAGTGCATGTGTGCCAAGCCCTTGTCTAGTGCTGTTCCAAGTGGTAAAAAAAAAAAAAAAAAGATAGTGTGGTTTTTATCAGTTGCTGTTTCCACGGCTCTTTTGTTTGTACGTTTGTTTTTGATTTCTGTCAGATTTAGTATGATTTATTTAACACTAACACTGAAGGGATAATGCTGATATCAGCAATACATTTATCATGTATTTGCTGGATATACTGTATTATGTTTTTGTTTGTTTGTTTTTTCCTTTTTTTGTTTTTGTTTTGTTTTGTTTTTTGTTTGTTTGTTTTTTGTTGCTGCATAATTAAACTATCCATGAATCTTTTGGGAAACTGCTCAACATCACCAAAGTTGGAGGGATGAGAATGGAGATGTTTGTGTTTGCTTGGTCCTGTGTAAGACTGCGAGTGTGTGCATGTGTGTGCGAGTGTGTGCATGTGAGTGTGTGTGTGAGTGTGTGTGTGTGTGTGTGTGTGTGTGTGTGTGTGTGTGTGTGTGTGTTTCTATTGGTGTGATGGGAAGTAATATTGATTTCAAAGATATAGGGGAGGACAAATACAGTTTATCCATCACTACTGTTCAAGAAGTGGTTTTTAAAGCAGTATTGGTGCAAACCTTTTGCCACATTTGTTTTCAATTTCACTTTTTGAGAAGAGTGCTGTTCAGTATGCAAATGTATTATTTTTTAAGAAATGCTATTGTACTGTAAATATCATTGTGAATATTTTTGTATCATCTTGATAATGTTTGTCCTTTGATCATTAGTCGTCCGACGTAACCACATACGCTCCCAAACTCCCATCTGACCACTGACTTTGTTTGTAACCAGCATCCGACAGCTGTCTCGCCTCCTCGCTGCGGGGAGGCCAGTCCGAACGTCTCATAAGCTATTTTCCTGCAGGTCACCGTGCTTTCTAGTCACTTTCCTCCCAGTCTACTCTGTCCCGCACCTGTCGTTTAGAAAGACAGGTGTCCCCATTTTTCGGCGGTCTCCTTCCTTGCGTCAGCTCAAGGTGATTGTGTAGCATCACTTCGATTTTCAGATGTCAAGCTCGGTTTGAAGCAATATTTCCTTTCACGCTCAGATGTATTTGATTGAAGATGATCAATGTTGTCTGCTCATCAATTTATGTTAACATTTTTATCGGTGATTATCTGAACAGTAATGGTTTCAAAAAGATGTGGTATCAGCTGGCTTTCAGTGTAATTAGTGAGCTATGTGAATATCATAATTGTTGCTAATTGTCAATACACAGTGGTATTTTAAAGATATATCACAACCATATTTTAAAGAAATTCATGATATTGTTTATATTTTTGTTATAGAAAAATGTGGCTTTTTTGAAAGCACGAGACCATATACATTTTTATCCCCTTTTTGTTTTTGGTAAATTATTTTGTACTGGTTTTCTTATTAATCTGTAAGGCTAGAAATCCAATTTCTTTCAACTGTAGCATTGTGCTAAATTAACCACCCTGGTTTTGTGTAAACATTATTTTAAACGTCATTTAAGAAATATTATTTGTTCCAATTCAGCACACTGACATGTCGTTTCATATTTAAGTCACAAGCAAAACATCGAATCAAGTCTTTTAACACTTCACTGCTTCATTTTCATTTTCTACATTCTGAATTGAAACTATTGATCAATCCCATGGAAGTCATTATCATTTCAGCTTTTGTTCTGTCAGCCAATTTGGTGTATTAGGCAGCACCCCAAATCTGTAGTTGCACAATCACAATAAAGGCCATTTTCTGGGGGAAGTTGTTTTAAAAAAATAAATAAATAAAAAAAAAAAAAAAGGAAAATAAAAACTAAAAAATACAGCGAGGAAGGGCATGTTCATCGTTCTGGCCTGAAAAGGATGTTGAGGGCAAGGCTAGGTCAAACGTCCCAAGAATGCCTGTATATATGTAAATGACTATAGAGACATGTGAACAGAAATGTATTCATTTTCCCTGGGAATGTGCATTGTTTCTTCAGAATAATAAAAAGCTTGCAACCCCTCTACTGGAAGTGGCTGAATATGGAAAATGAAACTTGTTAGTTAGTGTCTGTGGGTATCTCAGCATTTTGTTCCCCCCTCTGTAATATACTTTCACCTCTTTTGTTAGGGGAACTGGGACAGCTATGTTTTACATGTAATATTTAGCCTAAGTGTTCTAGTCTGTCACCTGCATACTCTTGAGGTGCTAAAGCTTAAAAAAAAAACAAAGAAAAAAAAAAAAAAACAAGGTTACAAAGAAAATCGCTTGGTGGGGTAGGAGAAAGGAGGTGGGAGGGACGGGTCCAGAAGATTGTAACCAAATCCATAGTTTGTACAATTTTTGATATCATGAACAGTTGGAAAAATGATACAATCTAAGGTGATTCATGCAATGTGGCCATTGTCTCTATGTTTGTACATTGTATGTACAATCATTTCATATTCTAAACTGGTCAGAAAAAGGAACTAATTGTGATTTTTAGTCTTGCAGAACTGTATGTAGTTAGATGATGTGACAACCTAATATTTATCTAATAAATATGTATTCAGATGATACCTGTATGTCACTGTGGTCCTTTCTTTTGTGCACTTGCGTCACAGTCTGACGATTAGGCCTGCCTAATTCCCACGGGCTGTTTACCCAAGCAGAAGGTGCAAATTATGAGTATCAAATTTTCATCCCCATTTTGATTAACATAGCTTAAGGTCAGCTTGACCTTATGTGGAAAAGATATGAGCCCACATTAATTAACACAACAGAATGAGGAGGAATTAGGAATTACATTCAGCACTTGTTATGCAATTTGTGATGGAGGAAATGAGAAAATAAAAGAAGAAATTAAAAAGATAAGTGGAAAAAAATGACTCTTGTAGACTTAGAAAGCAGCAAAGGTTCCAAGAAAAAAAATGTTACACTGCTCAAACTACATTTTCCACTCTCATGCATATAGCCTAGTGTATATTTGAACAAACTTCAACACCATCGATGCAAAAGGAGTAATTTTCAATCTCAAATTCTCTCACAATATTTTAGTTGAACCCGTCCATTATACGCTTACTGAGCACTTTATTGAGTACATGATTCTAATCCTGGGTATGCCTTAACAGCCGTAGGTCTTAGCAGCATGGATCCCACAAGATGTTAGTACCCGATGAAGATGGTAAATTGTGTCCATAAAGGGATGAACATGGAACATGAACATACTCGGACAGGCTGCGGCATTCAAACCATGATTGATTGGTGATTAGTGTGCCAAGAAAACATTAACAATACCAGTGTACCACCACCAGCAGCAGCAGCCTAGACTGTTGACACAAGGCAGGTGGAGTCAGTGGATTCATGCTGTATCAGAAGGATCCACACAAATAGGTTGAGATTCACAAATATATTTGAATAGAAAAATTCTAAGTTGACGCACAAGTGATATGAGTTGTGAATTAAAGGCACAGATACAGATCGAGTAGCCTACCAGTCAGTCCAAACTTTTGACTGATACTGTATATATAGATACAAATCACTCCGCATTTATTTGTGCATCGTTTTATGCGAGTTAAGTAACTTGACATTAATTTATGAAACGTTTCGAGTTTGTTTTAACGCCATAAAACCAGTCTAGTGGTAGAAAACTTAACAACAGCCACAATCAGGTTTAATCTCGCGAGATTTGAGAATATGTGTTTCCGGTTGCGTAAGAAAAACTTCCTCGTTTCCCACATATGTAAGCGTGACTTCTGTCTCCTTGCTGACCTGAGCAGAACGACTGAGCCACATTAGCCTCTAAAGATGTTAATTTTATCAAACAGGATAAAGTTATGTTCTCTGGCGTTTACCGCGGCACGTTTGTGCAGCAGCGGCCCTGCTGCTGCTAACAACAACCCGGTGGTTTTCTTTGACATTGCTGCAGACAACGAGCCTCTGGGCAGAGTAACATTTGAGGTGAGCGGATTAAAATCAACAAGGCATTTACTTTCAGTATGTTAATGTTTGCTTTTAACTGCTATACACATCAAACTAGCCGGAAGTCCATTCGGTGGCATTTACAGTCAGTATTTGAGCCACAGTTTTCCAGGGAACAACCTGTTCACATTGTGACCTCAGGCAGTTTAATTTTCTTTTGCAGCTCAACGCCGAAGTTGTGCCAAAAACCGCAGGTAAGCGATGATTTTTTCTAAAGTCGTCATATCAAAGACCAGCAAACTGATACAAGCTAGAACCAGAGGCTGATAACTAGAGCTTATAAGAAACCTTAATCTTCATTTATCAAGAATCATGCAAGATAATGACTGAACAATGGTGGTCAAGCAGGAAAAACAAACTAACCCCAACTTTAACAAAAAAAATTAATTGGCACATGCAAAAATTTGGGCAAGTCTGTACATATTAACCTGCCCTTTTCAGTTGATATGTCTTGACATCTGGATTAATACCTAGTTAAAAAACGCAGAAGAACAAGAACAAAAAGAAATAATGGGTTGTGATTACCAAAAACCCAATGACTAACTAGTTGACGGATTGAAGTATCCATTTTTTGCTGGGGACCCATCCCAAAGATCGCTGAGTATTCACTGACCAGTGTGGATTGTGGACTGGAGAATCTGACACAAACTCTCTTTGATAGAAAACTTCAGGGCCCTGTGCACAGGGGAACATGGTTTCGGTTACAAGGGATCAATTTTCCACAGAGTGATCCCTCAGTTCATGTGCCAGGTAGGCTTCTCGTTTTCTCTCTCCCGTGTCCTGTAATTCTCCAGCGTGCTGCTGTGGTGTAATTACAGCAATGTGCTTTGTGTTTTTAGGGTGGCGATTTCACAAACCACAATGGAACTGGAGGGAAGTCAATCTATGGATGGAAGTTTCCTGATGAGAACTTCAAACTGAATCATACTGGACCTGGTAATTATTCTACATCCCACTGTTCAAGCCAAGTCTGCTTGTTATTCATTCGAACAAATTAAAGTTCCTTTGGGACCGTAGTCCAGGGCAGAGCTACATGAAGTGCAGGAAGAAGACAGTCCACTTGATAACTACAGAGTATAATTAGATTTAATATGCACAGCACAGTGTGATACCACAGGACAGCGCAAATGCATGATGCATGAATAAGTGTTAGTTGCTCGTCTTCGCAGTGAAGTGCTTGAAACCAGGCTGGTGAACACTGAGCCAAAAATAAAGAATGGCAGACGTAGAAGGAATCAGTAACGTGGATATATGGCAGTACTAAAAATATATTGAGAATCATTTAAAAGTTATGTTTTTTTTTTATACATCAGTTCCTCTTTGTCATATTGTTACTCCTTATTTTGGAAATGGAAATTAATCTTTTCCAACCTGCTCCTCAGTGTGACATGATTCTTCTCACTTTCACCACCAGGTGGCAGCATTGTGCAACTAGTATTCAAATAAGACAGCAATAATGGAGTTGGTGTGGTTACAGTGATGACAGAAGTTTCCTTAAATTGGCCATAATATTTGAAATGTTTTTTTTTTGTAAATATTTGATCCTTGCATCATAGTGAGCTGTTGTATAGATTTGTGACTATTGACGCCATTTTGTAAAAGCTCGGGTAAAAACATGCTCTAAGTTAACATTTTGTTATTTTGATCAAACTGAATCTGAAATTGTTGCACTGTAGGAATCTTGTCTATGGCCAATGCTGGACCCAACACCAACGGATCCCAGTTCTTCATCTGCACCTCTAAAACAGAGTGGTATGTACTGACAAACACAACATTATAGAGGTTGATGTAAGTGTAATGTATTTATTCTTATGCATTTCTTGGATTAAATGAATGTCTGTTACTGGCTTGCCTTTAGAGATATCTGTACAAAGCTCTGTTAATTAGATGTATGGGAAACTGCACACCCTGTTAAATGACATAATAATAACTAATTAATAATCAATATCAAATACACCATATTGTAACACAAAGCCTCAGATTCACCAAACAACTTTTTGCTCACATTTCAACAGTGTAACCCTCCAAAATGTGCATTATGAATGTGGAGGCATTGACAGATTTGCCTTTTCAAAGTAAAGGTTGTCACATATGGTGTTGTTTCTAGAAGATTTAAATATGAAGTTTTCCTTTTTAATTATGCCAAAACATCACAAACAGAACCACATAACTAAGGATTTTGAAGGATGATAAACAGGAGGAATGTCTGTGTTTTTAACTGTGACCGGGCAAAGTAACCAGTGATGGTGGCAGTGTGGAGCTCAGACACTGCTAACATTAAACTGTGAGTCTCAAACCACACAAAAAGATAATAGTTACTCTGAAGCAGTTTTCATATATTTTAGCTTTAGTAATGATGTCTGCTTACCTATTTTAACTTTAAAGTAGGATGTACGGCAACTCAACAGGAATCCGGACAGAAATCCACTGCCAGAGGTTTTTACAGCCCAGGCTCCTCGCTCTTACGCTCACACTCTTATAAAGAAAATAATAAATAATATAGTAAAAATAGTAATCTGTCCCAGAGAGCTCATGCAGTTGATATACCACCCAGCCTTTAAAATCTGCTACTTTTGGAATGCTTTTGTTATTTTAAATTTTTTTAATATGTGTCCTGTTATTGTTAAAATGCTGTTTCAGAGGAGGGTTTTTCCCTCACCCTCTTGAGAATAAAATTCCTGGTGGAAGCAGTGAATTCTTATGTTTTGGCGTTGGAGAACAGAAATGTGAAGATTTATAAAAGGCCTAAAATAGCACAGTAATTGCCGAAATAGTGGCATCACCCAACAAAAAGCCACAAGTCAGACCCAGTTGGGTGCATCGCTGATCGTCTCACTGTCTGTGGCAGTGATAATAAACGTCGTCTTTCTTCATTCAGGCTGGATGGCAGGCATGTTGTCTTTGGCAGCGTGAAGGAGGGATTGGACGTGGTCAAGAAAGTGGAGTCTTTCGGTTCACGGTCTGGGCGAACCTCCAAGAGGATCACTATCACAGACTGTGGAGAGCTCAAGTAGACTCCATATGAGCAGTGGACACGGTCCTAGTCTCATCTCCTGCTGTAATTTCAATGTGAGAGTCTGAGTGAAAGAGACTCTGTCTTCAGTCATGACACAGAGTGCTACCTCTCTGCTGGCAATAGATAATATCAGAATCAGGATGTTGTGGGTTTTTTTTTTTTTTTTTGGTTTGTACTTAAATTCTGCAACAACTAACGCACTTAACTGTGTTGTGCTATAAAATGTGAAGAGTGTGTGTTGAACTTGAAAGCGATCATTAACATTTTTGGGGAAAGGGGCATTTATTTGCAATAAATAAAAGTCATTTTTTTTCTAAATATGTGAGCTTGTTCTTGCCATCTGTTTTTTATACTACATGAACTTGTATGTCAAAGCATTACAAAAATCCCCAAAGGAGAAGTTGTGCACTTCAACAACTGGCTGAAAAAGCTGTTCGAGTTAAAGGTGTGCCCATTTATTGAGGAAAGGCGAATGGTGTTTTTATCACCAGCTGCGGAATGAGTTCAGTGTTTTGTCATTTTTCCGCGCCTCCTTCTGCTTTCCTCATCAGCTTCAGTTGACTAATGATCTTATCCCCACTAAGTATTTATTCTGCTGAGGTCTGTCCAGAAGAATTAAGGTCTGCAATGTCAGATCTAATTGCTTCCGCGCAGGGAAATGCTTCTTTTCGAGAGGTCAGGCCATATTGCATCGGAGCTTGCTTTAGGTTCTGTCAGTGGTGGTACTGTATATAAGAAGGTGATGAAGCCAAATCTGATAAGTAAATTTTTCCAGATGCTCAAAAAAATGTTTTGTTTTTTTTCTGTTGTGGGAAGATAAAAATGTTTAACATCTGGATTAGTTAATGTTGAAGAGACAGTGTGGTATTATCAGTCTCAGCTCTCAAATCCATACTGCAACATGGATGCATTAAAAACTATAATCTTATGGGCTTATATTTTTATATTTTAAGAGATCAAAACCAATTTTGCAGAACAGCAGAAAAAAACAGGAACACTCGCTTAAATGCATTTTAATACAAAAACATTTTAAGAGATCAAGAGCTCCATCTCATGGGTTACTCCAACTAAGGCACATTAAATGGCGTGTCACACATCTTAAACAGTTAAAAACCGTAGGGTATTTCTTTTCCATACCATTATTTATCGTCACAGAAACCATCTAAAGCAACTTGCACATGCTACCTTCCACTTCATCCTTCATGATCTTTGGTACATTCACATTATTCCTTTTTTTTCTGTGTCATGTAACATATGAGACATTACAACCTACAACCCATAAAAAGCACTTTGGTGGTGGTTATTCTATTTGTCAGGAGAAAAAAAAATGTTTCTACCATATTGCATTGGTTTACAACTTTGGAATAACAAACGACCTACAAGGTGTTTCCACAAGTAATTGTAGGCACATATAGTATATAAAGAATAAATGTTAGTTGGCTAATATATTCCTTCACAAAGTGTACTAATCAACAAAACAGTAATGGCTTAAAAATATATTCAAAAATTATGTACCCTCCAGTACTGATAATACAGACAATAATGCAGATACACATTAATACTGCATATCCTTCTTAGTAAAGACTTGTTGCATATTTTATACAGAAAACATCACTTTAAGTTATTTCTGGAATATACAAACATGTAAAAGAGAATCTTCATCTGGAAACTTCACTCGTGAATTTTGTTCCGAGACGAGTGAAGGCAGACACAGAGCTAAAGTTTCTTAATTCACAGTTGGTAAGATTCTTGGTTCATAGTTAAGACTTCAAATGACTATTCACATAACGACAACCGAGTAACTCACTAGCACCCAGTAAATGCAACGTACTCGTCTCCACTGAGAGAAAGTGTAGAAAAATTCCTCCACAATGAGCCTCTTACACCGAGAGTCACGGCGTCAGAGAGACTATTTTCATGAGAATAAACTGTTAGATGCATTACAGCACAATAGAGTTTATTACCATGTGTTTTTAGTCATTAAAATGTAACCGTCCCTTTTTCGATTAAAATGAAGGAAGTCAAGCAGAGTGTGTTATTGCACGCGGCGGCAGTAGTAGCCGAGGACTTTGCATTTTTCACACAGGTGTTGTGGATGCTCCTTGCTCTGGTCCGACACATCCAACCCGTCCGGCTTCTCCAGAGGTCGCTGGAACCAAATAACAAAAAAGTTAATTAGTTAACGTTGCAGTTATGTTTACTGATTTACTAATCAACAAAACTTCGGATTTGTGCTGTCACCTGCTTATGAGGGTAAACATTGATATGGCACTTGATACATTCTTGTCCCATGTTGGCCCAGGAATTCCCGCTCATCCACTTCCTCTTGCACTTAGGGCACTTATATTCACCGAAACACCTCTTCTTTCCCTGATACGGGGTCAGGCCTTCACCTTTGGGTCGAGCCTGAACAGAAATGTATGGTAGAAAACAGTTTATACATTGTTGACATCATGTGAAACCCACTTTTAGCTTCACTTCACTACTTAAATGCTTTAAAATGACATATTTTCTCGATGTGTGAACCTCAGCAGCTTTGCAAACATTCTGGCCTTTGCCTCTCAACACCTTTAACTGGAGACCGACTGACCAATGTGGTTTCTTTGGACGGTGGCCAATTTGAAGCTCTGCGTGATTAGAACAGGAAGTGATAGCAGCCCTGTTGGTGGTCAAGAGAGTCGAGTTTAAGGAGTAGCTTTGTCTCAGGAGTGAAATGATTATTTATGGTTTCTGTTGTTAGTTAGATAACAGATCATTTGCTTTGGTGCTCGATTAATCTTTACAGTTCCGGAAGAGTGAACCACACATTTCAAAGGAACCTTTTCTTATCTTATCTAAAGTATAGATGTAGAAGGATGGTAGAGAAATTAAAAAGACTCTTTGCATTATAGAAGCAAGTAGAAAGGATTAAATGCTTTAGTGGTTTATTCCATGGAAGCTGGAGCATATTGTAATTTTTCAGTGTAATTTATTTGTTAGACAGAAAAGAAGGAGTCTCCGCTTTCCCATTAAAAATGAACTCCTTCCCTCCAGCTGTGTTCCCAAGGGACCATAAAGGAGGCCCCGGCCTGTGGGGGGACCAATGGGAGAGGCCTCTCTGCTATAGGACAAATACCTTAGGCCCTCAGTCATCCCTCCCAGCTGGCCCTGGCCCACCAATCAGGACAGAAAGATCTTAGCAGGCAGGAAATAAAACCCAGATGAACTCTGCACTTGTATAACATGACAAAATCCAAAACCCATCACAAAGAAATCATCTCGACAAGACTGGTTTAAATTAAAAGCACCTCAGCTGAAAAGTAGGGCAAGTCAAAATTAAGACACGGCCCGCACCACCAGATGAGTTCACATCAAATCTTGTTTTGATTTCACAGCAGGAACATATGTCAGGTTCAAAACTTCTAACAGATCATTATATTCATTTCCAGGACTACATCTGTTAAAAAAAACATGTTGAGAGTTCCAACAGCCAAGTCTCTAACTGTTAAGACCACTGTGAGGCATTTTGAGGCCTGTGTTTGCATCATTCAGCCACCATGAGGCACTGTGGGAGGTCACTTTTGATGGCAGCCCTCTCTCTCTCTCAAGCGCCTACAGGGCGAGCAGACAGAGCATCATCTTCCTGAGGGAGGAAACAGCTTTCACTCTGCAGAACAAGCAAAACAAACTCTACCTAAAGTCTGGAGCCCACAGGGTAGCAAAGGGCATGGTGCACTCCAGCGTTTCCACCGGTCCATCCAAAGATGTGACACTGACAACCGACAAATGACGATCACACTTTTGACCTGACTGTGAATGGACACTGTTATGGCAACCAGGAAAGTTTGAGTGAAGGCAGAAAAATGTACAAATCCGTCATCGAGCCACTTGCATGCATGGCACAACAAGTAAGAATGTTCTTCATTGTCGAGAAATCAAGACTGGGGCATTTACTGCATATTTTATGTCGTAGGATAAAACGAAGAACTGCAACACATTTATGGTCAATAGTGGAAAATGTTTTTGTGGCCTCTTTTCTTTAGTATAGCCTATAGTAACAAGATTCTGCAGCCATGCTAGCAACTCTCTCTCTCTCTGGACTTCACAACGGTCCTTTTAGCTAATGTCAGCATGCTAACATGCTCACGGTGGCAATGCTAACATGGTGTGTAGCAGGTATAAAGTTTACCATGTTCGCTATCTTAGTTTTGCATGTTAGCATGCTAACCTTAGCTAGTAAGCATTAAACAGAGTAAAGCTGAGCCTGTGAATGTCACAGTATTGGACAAAATTCATTTTTAACCTGAAGATGGTGCTTGATGAAAAGTTACCACGGTTATTACAAATCACCCTGAAAGTTTTTTTTGTTTTTTTTTCAATCTATCCAAAAGTTGTTCAGACATCTCAGTCTAAACCACAAATTTAAACCTCATTGTAACATCCCCATGAGAAGAAAGAGCTATTAAAGTCATTAGAATACATCCCTCCTGGGTCACTCCTCAATTTTTTTGTCAATCCATCCGGTAATTGTTGCAATATTTCAATCTGGACCGAAGTCGTGGACCAACTGACAGACAAACCTTGCCATCCCTAGAGCCATGCCAATAGCAGGGCCAAAAACATGAAGGCATGATGTTTTGGACTCGGTCAAAGGTTGTTTTGACACAAAGCATAACATTCAAATTGACACAAACATCCCATTTTCTCCCAAATCTGATTCTTCGTATTTGATCAAAGCTCTGCAGCCTAAAACCATGTGTGAGAAACGGTTTTCTTTTAAGATAAATAGTTTTTTATTAATTTATTATGTGCATTACAACACACCCAAGCCAAAGAGACATCATTTAAATTGTGTTACTTAAATCAGCCCCAGAGTGCATTGGCCGATGTAAAGCCTGATTTTAAGGCTGCAGCAGATAAGCTTGGCCCAGATCCTTGTAGCCTGGTGAGAGAGGCCCAGGAGGTTGGCTGCCTCCTTCTGCCATCATCTGGAATCCATCAGGATAAACAATGGACTACTCCAACCCCCCCACCCCCCCGCCCACCCCCACACAC